AAATTTAAATTACCTTTGTGTTACACAAATTGTTTAATTACAAATTTAAAAAAATAAGAATCTGCATACGAGGTGGTAAAAGTATTGAGTATGATTAGATGTTTTGGGTTAATATTTTACGGGACTTCGTATCATAAGTGAACGATCATTGAGACATGGCTAAGTCAGGCCTCTTTGATAGCGAAGTTACAAATAGTATACTTCCGGCAGTTGACCCATTGAATACTAAATAAATGAACTTGTCAGCAAAGCATTGAATACTATTTTAACTGAGATGTTCACCGTGTGGATTTGCTAACGTGAAAAATAAGCAGTCCACGGTTGTAATATATATTTTTGTATACACATCAAATACAAAACTCGCTGCTTCCATGATTCTCAAGATAACTGTCTAATAGTTTGACTACCTTACATTGTACCACAGAACCGTGGGATATACAGCTGATGAATATAATCTTACATGGGTTAGCTTACACTACCTATTCATTTGTTTATGGGAATGAACAACATTTTGTGGTGGTCTTGACTTGAAAACAGAAATAAGCAAATATCCTTAGTATCAGTTAAAGTATTATCAGCTTCGAAATGTTCAACTAATTTATAAATAATGTCAGCGGTGATTGGTTCTTTTTTACTACTGGTTTACCAAGTATACATTTGGCTGATTTACAATAATGAACGATTGTTGGGTAGGTGCAGGAATACCTGCTGACCCGCTGTGTTATGCATCCATTATGCATTGTGTTTTGTTAGCTTGTAATAGCTGTTGAACATCTAGGCTCTCCGTTGATTCTTCTATTCTGAATGCGGTGACCAAAATGTAGATGGTATTTGCTCTGTGGCAACACGTAGAATGACCACCACTTGTACATTATTTAACACCATCTTTCGGTGTAGAGCACGGTGCCCTCCATGAAGCTACGCCCTCTATGGACCGCCGAAACAGCAATTTCTCGCTACACTGCGTGACACAATGAATAGCTGACAAAGTATGTACTAATTAAATGAATTTCTTCAGGAGTGAGGAGGGCCTGTCTCTATTAACCAAACCAACGCCCATATCAAACAAGAACAATAACACAACATTTTTGGAGAATGTAAACAATATTTTCTATTATAAAATGGTGGTTTTAGCACAGGGCAACCCGCATCAACCAGTTAAAGATAATGACAATTATCCATTTCACATTTACAATACAGTTCACACATCCATACTACATTCATGTTGTTGACATTTTGTTGGCGAGTGTTTCCCTAGGAACCAGTGACATTTGTATAGCAATGTTTTATATCAACGGCTCTTGCCATTTCTGTTAGCAGCCATCTTTACAGCTTAGTTTTTTGAACAATACGAAAAATAAATTCTAGTGACAATTTTACTCCCAAGCCATAGCATCATTAACATAATTTATTCAGTATTCAAATTTAAGACCATCCTATTTATACAGTAAATTTAAACACCGGGCATTTAAAAACCCTTCTTTAAGCTAAACTGGTTCACTAAGCTTCCTGATTCCAGCTACATAAAAGGTCAGCAGTCCATCTTTCTCTAATATGTACTGTTTGGGGGTAGTTTAAATGTAATATTTGTGTGAAACATGAACTAAAAACTGTGTTAAAATGCACATATGAATTCACAAAGTGATACATGTCGTGACGCAATGATAATATTTTGTTATCAAATATATGGAGTTAAAGCCACGGGTGTTAGCAATTTTTCTTTAAATTTATAACGATAACCTCTGTGGAATATTTGTCGATTTGGCGATGTAATTACTCACTTTGTTACCGATGTGCACGGCTTTTGCTATGCTAACGTAAATTGAGGCCAACTTTGGTAAAGCCAGTGTAGGCCAGATACACAAGTTATGTACATCATGGCTGATATATTAATAAGGTTTACACATTTTATATAATAGTTATGATTTAGTGTATTACAAACCATTAATGTCTCAAATTATAAGGCATACGATCGGGGGTTGACTGAATTTACAGCGTGGCGATTCTGAGACCTTAAACTCGTTACCATATTTATAACTTGGTAGCTACAAATGTATACCCGTATTTATACCAAAGTACATGTTGTATTAGACTGGCGCAGTCGGGGCGATTAATTTGTTTTTGTAGTTTAATTAAAATTAAAAAAATCGTGAAATGGAGGTGTTAGCGCGAAATCCCCTGTAATTGCGAAATCACCCTGACTGGTTTATTCTGCATGGCCCTCTATCGACACTGCAGGAACCCGTCGATTTTTCAACGGGTAATTATGTTAATGAGTACTCTAATTGACAATCATCTAAGCCAATCACAACGTCCCTTCAACTGACCTCTGACCAAAAAGACGTCGGCTGATTGTAGCAGCCGATTTTTTTTAATTCTACGACTAGTACGAGTTACTTTTTTACACTTTGTGATGAATTAGAAACGACGACTACGACAAACTCGAATTTCAACGTGCCGCCATTTTGTGTCTGCAGTGTGACCTATATCATGTTGACCTCATTATGCACGTATTTTCGCGCCCACCTCATTATAATATGTGCATCATGAATATTTAATAGCAATGAATTTCCTGCAGAATAAACCAGTCGGAGTGATTTCGCGCTAACACCAATATTTCGCGATTTCTTTTATTTTATTTAAACTTCAAAGACAAATTAATCGCCCCGACTGTGCCAGTCTAATGTTGTATATATTTTCATGATCTCAATGAAATAATTATTCCGCGGTTGTAACATGTCATTTGTCTTTATTGTATACACATCGAATGGAAACTCGTTGCTTCCATGATTTCCAAGAGCCACTCGGTTTTTACATTTTTTTAAAGTGGGAAAGAGCTTGCATTATTTTTCGCATGTGCCAGCTGTTCATACACAAATCGAGTCACAACTCTACCTATATGGATATCTGTCCATATTCAGTTTATTTATGTGATATTTCACAAATACATTGTAGCTCTCTTGTTGTTCAACGATCGTTACTGACCTTGTTGTAGTTTGTACATTGTCTAATTTCGTATCCCCCACCTCTTATCAACTGGGAACTCGCATTTGTGTATAGTTTGAACCACGCTGATTAGCACGACGTATAAGATACGGGACGATACCACAGCAAAGATGAATCTTTCTGTGCCCAATAAACTATGGTTTCACTATTCATGCATGGCGTTGTATGTGTAGGATTGACTGGTGTGAATTCATGTTTTCAAATGTATACGAAATTGTGTTGGAACATACTGTTGCCTACCAGTCTAAATTATCTGTATTACACAAATAGTATAATTCTAAATTAGTTAAGAATCCGCACATGAGGTGGTAAAAATATTGAGTAATATTGGGTGTTCGGTTTAATATGTTACCCGGCCTCGTGCCATAAGTGAATAACCAAGAGCCGTGGTCATGTCAGGCCTCTTTGAAAGTAAAGTTACCGATAATTTAACTCCGGCAGTAGACGATAAGTCTTCTATACTTTAATCTGTCTAAGAGCAGAACTCAGTATTGGATAAAAGAATTACCTGCAATGATATTATGGGTAATACACGTGCAATGCTGTAGTTCACTGCCAACGTTAAAGTGGTCCAATCCACTAGTGAACCCTCAGTACACACTTTCTGTTCATAAATGAGTTTCATGATTTCCAGAAATTTCCCTAACAATTCATAATGTGCATGAAATCATGGGAAAGAACGGTGTGCATTGCCGTGTGATAACTGTCATAAAGGTGATTGACAGGCCATACTTGTTTTCAACTCTGGAATGGGAGTTGGAATCTACCAGCTGTGCTATTATTTGAATAACAAAGGATGTTTATGATCTACTGAGTTGTATACGTGACACAGCTGCTAGCAAGATCACATTCTGATTGGCTCATGTGGAAACCCAGGTGGTGTCACTGAATCATGTCTATAAATTGGACATACTGTGGACAGTTGGGGTCCATCATTTCAACTTGGTATCCTGTGTGTGCTACTATGATAGTATGTGACAAGGGATACAGACTACAACCATTATTCTGTGAGACGTGTATGAACTTCTCTGCGATCTCCTGCTTTCAGCGGTGCTCTCCAGACTACCAGCGTTCCCCTGCAAGCAAGAGTCCTGTATTTCTTCGTTGTTGTGTTGCAGAAGCCATTAGCTGTCGTCCAGTATCACATCCTGGAACTGTGAGTTATCACCAATGCTCACTTCCCTAAGCAATCCCCTATTTTAGTGACTTTATTTACTTGTAATTATTTTGAGAGCTATTAAAGCCAAGAGCTTGATGTGTATTTCATTTCCAGTACTATTGTCTTGTCCACCGCATTCTAGCAGTAAAAAAAACGGGTTCAGTGTGGGTTATGTGGGTGGCCCTCGCAATTGCTATGAGCAGGCCTTACACTGTGACAGTTTTATAATAGACTTAAGACAAAGAAATTCTATTACAATTTTATTTTGGTGTGACTTGGTATCATAGATTATTCACCCCGCTCCCCACCTTCATTTGTTCACTCTGGTTCAGCATACATCGCAACTGGATGTGTCCTTTTAGTTCTTCATTGTTCAAAGACTATCTAAATTATAATAAGATCTCTACTTGGCATGACAGTCTTGAAAGTCTTGTCTACAGGTGTCTTGGTCCTTCTATCGCCAATTGAGCTATAAATATATATATATATTATATTAATATAGACATATTCCTTCAAGAGCAGTTATGTTTAACGCAATAACTTGTTGTAGATGTACATTAGTGGGCTCAGAACAAAAACATGAAATCGTTCATTTGCATTGCATAATCTTTGAATCATCGACACAAGTCAAAAATGTGTTCACTGGTAATTACGTAGATATTGATTTGATATTGAACCAGAATCTACACACTACTCTCCTCCAGGAGAACAATACAGTGTTTTAGCTGGCTACTTAGAGATACTTGTATGTGTCCTGTGATTAATTGTGTTTTGTTTGTCGTATTTGTTTTTCTGGATTTGCGTATACTTGTGTTATCAAGTATTTTTTTTTCAGAATTGTGTACTATCAATACCAACATTGTAGCAGAAACTATGGCAACAACGTCAGATTACTTGCTTGACTATCCGGATGAATATCACCAAAGTTTCCAAACTATGATGGATTACGGCGGGAGATTCAGAGAGCTTCGTTACAAGGAAGATTCGATAAAAACGGTTGACAAGTTACAACTTGAATCGTGCAACCAGGTATACGTTCTCTCTATTGGACCCGGGAATGGTACGTTTCCATAACTGTGCATAACAAAAATCAGCGAATCCATTTGAGGACAATTTCACTAGGTTAACTATGATAAGACCCCAATTATTGATATACGACTTTGGGACGAAAAATTGAAATGTCGAATGTATTTTGGATGCATGTTTGTGTTTAGTTGTATTTCATGTGTTTCTAACCCAGACCTGTGAGTGTGAAAACTCTTCTCAAATTTCGCTAAGATTGCGTTAACAGCGATTCGTGGGAAAGGAACTGTTAATAGCGCCACCATCTTCCGTGAAACTAAACCCCCAATTAGAATATTTACCAGTGTTTTTGTATCTCTTCGGACTGAGATAAAAGTATTTTGAACCCAATTTACATAGATTGTTATTTGGTTTAACAAGGTCACTGGATGTTTGTCACCTGAAAGTGTCATCTTGCTATTCGACTTTCAAGTTCATAACCGATGGTTCGCATGTCCATCGGCAATCCGAAGTTTTGTAGAATTACTTGAGCCCTAAACAATAGACACGAACAAGTTGTACATGACAACATTTTCCTAAAAAAGGAGGGTCGGAAATTGAATAGTCTGTCACAATAACAAAAGAATCCAAAACAACCACACCAAATCTCACTAAAAGAGTGTACAATACTATCTACACAGATCGCGCATAAACCTTTTAGGTGTTTCAAGATATATTCTATTACATTTGCACATATTTCATTCATACCATTTGACTACAAACTCAAATCTTGATTTTTGATTTTTGATAATTATGATTAAAACAAAGTCGATGTCACTGAAATACAAATTATCACCTTTGTAAATGTTTTCATATTATCAGGTTCTGCTGATCTTCATTTCATTAATGCATTGGTGGACAAATATACTACAATACATTACACCGTGGTGGAACCGGTATCTGGTCCATTAGATGAATTTAAGAGGTTAATTGAATCTCATCAAGATAAATGGAATAGAGTCAACTTTAGTTTTCATGTTCAAGGAATTACCGAGTACCTTAAAGAAGGTGGTGCAGCTGATAAGTATGACTTCATACATGCTTGTCATTCTTTGTATTTTTTTGGTGATGTTGGAAATACACTGCACACTTTATATAACATGCTCAATGTGAATGGAATACTTCTAATAAGAGCTGTGACAGGTTTGTAAATCATGTCTCTTGAAATTACACAAATCACGCCACCTTTGTTTTATCAAGCTTTGCTGATCATAATGATTAAATCTGTGTTCATACATACTTTTTTTAATCAAATATGTATTATGTTTTCTCCATGCATGTACAGTTGTGTGCATTTGGCGCTAATTACAAAAACATAATGTGTTTGGTCTATCAATCGAATGAACTGTACAATATAATTGTAACTCGTAGTCATATTATTGTATTGCACAGGCAAAGGAGTCTGCAAGTATAGGAAATACAGAAACAATTTCCAAGGGTCCAGAAAACACATAACAGGAATTGATGCTAAAAATCTGATAAGTCTCCAGTTCCCTAATGTTCC